ATATATATATATATGTAAACATATTACTTTTTATATTTATTACACACCATAGTGTAGCGTGATGTTCCGCAATTTCACATTCTTTTATATATTCATTCATCGAATTATGTCTCTTTATAATTTTAATTGATATGATATATTTTTTTCGTGAATGCTTATTTCTAACATCCAAGTCTTAAAAAAGATGTATTTCTTAAATTTATATGAGGCATATTTGGATTTATATATAATGACATAATAGAAGTATATTAAAATGATATAAAATGAAATATAAGTAACACAGTCATAAACTATAGCAAACTTCACAATCTTTTATTATCTATATTAAGGCATTCTACAGTCACCATTTACAATAACAATTTCATCTTTACATGCTTTTACGATAAAATATTGTAATTCCTATTCGAAACTTTCTTCTTTGTACATTTGCTATCTTTCTAAATTTCACTATCTATTGATGTTGTGCACTTATCTCTTTATTATAATATTGCATTTATTCCTCATATTTAGATTAATGCCAATAGCTTGAAAATTGCATAAAAAATAATATGTAATAGAATCTCTTATGTATATTTCTTGTATTTGCATTATTTATGAACAATTTATTTTAATATGTAATGCTACTTCATGTCAAAACAAGTCATTTGAGTGCACATATGTAGTAAAAATCTGAAATATTGAAGTAAAGTATGGCACATGATTTTATTTTGTAAAAAATAATTTATTGTCATACGGAAGCTACGCGAGGCAAAAGCGAAACTAAAGCTTTGTATTATATTGCTAAAGTTTATAATAAAGTTCAATTTCCCCCATTTAAGCAAGCAAATAGCCTTATTTAAAAATTGAAAACAAAAAATATTTTTATTTACAATTGTTGTGTACAAATGCATATACTGCAAATGATTTTTCTTGATTTGGTAGCTTGACATAATTCCTTTCTGTGCTTTATAGATAGAGATTATTATACGAGATACTCTACACAATGTAGATATCTGCGTCATATGTCTATATCCAACATATCCTAATTTTAAATTGTACAATACACATTTTTGAAACGATATAATCGCAGTTATATTGTTTCAAGAATAGCAATATCGAAATAATGTGATCTCTTAGAGTGTCTGTTTTAGAGCTCTACCATGACTTTTTATAATACAAAAATACAAACAATATTTCGTTAATTAATTCATTTATCAGCTAGTATTAGTGTTAGTCCATTCACCAGTCTCTTTTAGAGCTCTATCTGTTAATCTCTCTATCTCAGTTAAAAGTTGTTCAGTCTCTATATCGACACATACCATATTTTGTTCCACTGGATCCCATTCTAAACTATTTGGACTTGAGACTCTGGACCAAGGAGATGCTGTCAGACTGGAGGCTCGACTATTATTAGCTGATGTCTGTGTAAGAGAATACTCTGTGTCTCCTTGTCCATCATCCGTAATTGGTAGTGGCATCCCTGCAAGAGTATAATTTGTTTATGTATTGTAAGATTTATAAAAATGATAATAATGATAGATTACCTTCGTGTTCCCACTCAAGATCCAGTGATGATCCCGGAGTGGATGACATGTAAGCCTGTTGTTTCATTAATGTTCTTGCATCAAGAACTTGAAGGGACACATCCAGACCAGAACTAAAAATAAGTGTATGATCTTTTAGCCTTTCACACGCATCAATTCCAAAAAAATGTTATTGGAATTAATAAAGTAATTTACCTTGTGGAAACATCGTTTCTAGAACTCAATCTGGCATATTTATTACCACCCCGTGACCATCTTCCATCTTCCAATAATTCCAAAGTTACTGGAGCCCCATGTTTTTTCTATAATTCAAACACATGTAAAATTGCATAATTCAAATTAAGATACTTCTTGTAATTCTTGTACAATAAAGGTAACAGCTTTCACATATTTTGTAACATTCTTATCTTTGTATACTAAATGATGCATAAGATATACATTATAAGATATTTTTTTACCTTGAATCTTTTTAAAGAGAGGAACGATAAGAGACTACATCCAGTAAGCATGACAGAAACGTAATATTAATATCACGAATCCAAATTAGAATTAAAAGTTACAAACTGACTTTTATACCTATTTGATCCTTTAGTTTGGTCTTCATGTCCTTCGACATCCATGAACTAAATATAAAACAGCAATGTTATTTCTACTAGCAAAAGTATAAATAGAAACATTTTTTAAACTCTTGGATATATACCTCAACTTGTTCTTCTTCTTGGAATGACATTCTGGTATGCCTTCGATAGAACCTGAACATAGAACAAGGCAAAATATGATAAGTTCTTTTGTCTAATATACTAGGAAGACTCTCAGTTAGAAGTCTTCCTAGTAAAAAAAATTTATCAGAACATAGGATTCAATACAGCTTTCATAACTTGAGTTATTCGTAACATATATTAATGCAACTGAGTCATATGAGTCATAACTAATAAAGTTATGACTCATATGATTAAAATATTGAATCGTGGATGTAGTCCTCTATTTAACTGCGCTTTTAAGAACAATCTTTTCAATATTCAATATGCAACAATTTTCTGTCAAATATCCTGGCAGCTAACTGCCTGGTTTTCATCAGACTTGGCTCATTTCTAACCTGTACGGCACGGAATCTGTGACTTTCGTTAAACAGCGGCCGAGACAGGCTCCCATGACCTGCCAGCCCACGGCGTCGTGCCGTCATCTAATTGATATGAGTTTTCGGATACCAGCGTTTAACTCCACGTGTCACGTGAAAACGGGAACGACGGTGTCCTTCCACCAGGTGCTGTCTGGTCCCGGTATTGACGTTGGTATCTCGAGTATCTCGATCGATCACGACCATTCATCGTTCTCGCACCATTGACATAAAAAGAATACAAGCGTTTGGAATATTTAAATCAGCGAATATTTGGATCAGCTCATGATGGAATCAGCTGTTATCCATATCATGATATAAAATCTTATGTCATGATCCGTCATTCGTGTAGGAATAGGAACAAATGTAGGAGGGAAACATGAAGTACGCTGCGAGTATTGTTAATAATGCATCGAATATTGTTGATGAGAAACGCGCGAAATTTAATATTTCACCCATAACATAAGAAAGATATGTAAGAGCTTATTAATTATTGCCTCTTTTCGTAATATTCATTAGTTCTCTCTTTTGTATCTATTCTCTTTACACCACAGTGAAAATAACTATCGACGTTATTAAAATTTGTTAAAAAACTCAAATATAAAATTGTTTAAAAAAATCTTTTAACTTTATATATAAAAATATCTACTAAGTTTTTATTTAACTCTGTACGTGTGAAAAAATGTTTCACATGATTATATATAAAATTATATATAAA